CCCCCCCCCCCCCACAAGCTCGGCCTATTGTGCCCATGGACTTGGAACTCATTTCGTATGGGCTTACGTATTGAACCCAATATATCTATTAAGACTAAAGAGTTCCTCACCTCATCAATCACCAATTATTCCAAATACCCTTGGCTCAAATATGGTCTCTGCAAATGCCAGATGGAGACTTCACTCGTTACCAACCAGTGTTAGATTATAGTGCAATTTATCTCTACTTAGGTAAGTGTTCAGTGCCAACCAGTCGTGAAAGGAATGAGGCTCATCCTTTTTTAAAGACAATCTTGGAGTTCGAGGCAAAGTTAGGCTGGCCCCCTCACACTAGTTGGGGCAAATGAACATGTGAACTACCTTTTCTACAATGATTCCGGATCTCTAAACTCGTTCTGTATGGGCTTGTGTGCTAGACTTGATATATCTATCGTTACACGATACATAGTACTCCTTCTGTTTGGAAATGTTTTTCCCATTACGCGTTATAAGACTTGATTGATTTTAATTTTAATTTAATTTATTTGATTGTGGGTAAAATTAAAAAATAAATTTACATATTTTAAAACAACATTAAAATTATTACAAAATGAGAAGTGACATAGAATATTATATTATGAAATGAGTGATAATATTTTAATTAGTCCTCAATAAGTTTTAATTACCTACATGGTCCTCTATAATTGAGATTTATTCCTAAAATAGTCCTTTGTAATAAGATATTTTCCCAAATCAGTCTTCAATAAGTTTAAAATACCTAGGTGGTCCTCTATAATTGAGATTTATTCCCAAGATGGTCCTTCATAAATAATGTAACTCAAATGAGGATTAATTAAGGTTATTTTTTCTCTGCTAAATTTAGATTTAATTTTTAAAATAATCATTTATTATGAAGTGCTTTCCCAAAATGGTTTTTCTAATTAAAGATGTGTATTTGATTTGAAATTTAAAAATTTTTTTAAGTTTTAAATAATTCATAAATTATTTATGAGTAAATTCTCAAAATGGTCCTTTGTAATAAGGTGTTTTCCCAAATCAATCTTCAAATGAGGATTAACTGAGAGATATTTTGGTATTTTGATAATCCAAATTTAAAGTATATTTTTGAAACAATCATTTCTGTACAACTAAATGTAAAATTTAAAAAATACATTGAGTATAAATAATTTATGAATTATTTAAAACTTAAAAAAAATCTTTTAAATTTCAAATCAAATACACATCTTTAATTAGAAAAATCATTTTGGGAAAGCATTTCATTATAAATGATTATTTTAAGAATTAATTTTAAATTTAGCAGAAAAAAATAACTTCAAATAATCCTCATTTGAGTAACATTATTTATGAAGGACCATCTTGNGAGTAAATTCTCAAAATGGTCCTTTGTAATAAGGTGTTTTCCCAAATCAATCTTCAAATGAGGATTAACTGAGAGATATTTTGGTATTTTGATAATCCAAATTTAAAGTATATTTTTGAAACAATCATTTCTGTACAACTAAATGTAAAATTTAAAAAATACATTGAGTATAAATAATTTATGAATTATTTAAAACTTAAAAAAAATCTTTTAAATTTCAAATCAAATACACATCTTTAATTAGAAAAATCATTTTGGGAAAGCATTTCATTATAAATGATTATTTTAAGAATTAATTTTAAATTTAGCAGAAAAAAATAACTTCAAATAATCCTCATTTGAGTAACATTATTTATGAAGGACCATCTTGGGGATAAATCTCAATTATAGACGACCACCTAGGTAATTAAAACTTATTGAGGACTGATTTGGAAAAATACCTTATTACAAAGGACTATTTTGGAATAAATCTCACTTATAGAGGACCATGTAGGTAATTAAAACTTATTGAGGACTAATTTGGGAAAATCCATTATTACAAAGGACTATTTTGGGAATTACTCAATAAAAAAAGATTTGACCATAAAAACAGTGAACACACAAATATTTTTATACGAATGATGTATAAAAGACTTAAAAAGACTATTTTAGTCGACATGCTCACATAGTCTATTGTGCAATCATTACTAATATGTCAATTATTCTACATGCTTCATTGCATTATTGAGAATTATATTTTCCATGCTTGTTTTTGCTCTTTGGAGAATGACTTCAACAATTAGTTTATAATGAGTGATTCGGTGACACCGATTCCAATTAGAGTATCTATTAACCAATAGTATTATTATATGAAGAAATTTTGCTGTCATTTTTATCTACTATCATACATCCATAGTCCTTGTTTGGAAATATAGTTGTCAACTACTAATTGTTGGATGTTTATCATTCACTTTGAAATTATTCCGAATGACAGTTTAGTTTAACTGTTTTCACCAGCTGAATGTGTTAATTGATCGTTAAAAAATTGATAGGTTAATAGCTATTTGCAAATACTATGTAGCTATTTTGGAATTTAAATAGAGATCGTGGAATGAGGTCTTCGTCATCGGAATCGTCTACATGGAAGGGATGCCTTTTTTCGGACTAACTGATAGTGTCATCGACCTGAACCTCGACCTTGGCGGAAGATCTTTTCTTTGAATGGATCCTGCCGCCTCGGTCATCGGCTTGTCGCCTTTCGCTTTGTGACTCTTCCGGCGTGCATTTTTTTTGGTGCACTTGATTCCGGTTGAGTTTCCGGTACCGACTCTGGGTCCTCGAGATTTTCCGAGTTTTGTGTATCGAATATCGACGAACTATTTCCGTACGATTGGAAAATCCACATCACTTGTTCGTTTGGCTCGAGACCGGATGAATGAATGTTAAACCGAAAGGATTCATGTTGAAAAAGAAAAAAAAATTAAAGAATTTTTTTTATTTGAAGATGAGAGAGATAGAGGGATGTATGTGTTTGATTTTTTAAAAAATGGATAAATTTATAGTATTGAAAATAAAAAAATTAAAATAGCCCAACGGCTAATTTGGCCGTTTTGGCCTTGAATTCCATGCAAACAATAGCTCCTCCTCCTCATCAAATCTTTAACGCATTATGGGTGATGCCCTAATAACGCCGCAGGGGGCGGTGTTTGACGCCGTTGTGACGTTAAACACCCGGTTATGCCCCGGCATCACCCCATTTCCATTGCTCTAATATCACTTATATTAAATTTGAGCTCAAAAATTTTTTAAAAAAAAATCTGGAGGGAGTTCTATGAACGCTTCTCCTATGTAATTCAAGCTTTTTTTTGATTAATCACTAGCAAGGGAACCAAATTTCTGATGAAACTATCCCAGATTTATCAGTATGATGATTCTTGAAATTTGAAACAGATCGGATATGATCCAAATTCTGGGTGCACTTATAAAACGCCCATCTTAATTTTCTGGGCTTTAATTAGTTACTTCCATCATCATCTCTTTGATCTTTCCCTCTTGAATTCTTTATAAGTTCAAGGTGTCCAACAATGGCGGATTCTTGCTCACACTGGTGGCACGCTCCCTTCTACGTTACCCTTTCCATAGCTCTGGCTTTCGTCGCCATCTCCACCGGAATCCACCGCTCCGGCGGACCTGAACCCACACCGGTGCTGTCCCTTCTTCTTCATAACGAATCCTCCTTCAACGCTTCCGTCGCTCTCCGCCGCCGCCGCGGCTTCACCGTCTTCGCCGCCCTCCTCCAGATCTCGCCGGACCTCTTCCTCTCCCCTCCCGAGTCCACCGTCTTCGCCGTCCACGACTCCGCCTTCTCCAACCTCTCCCTCCCTTCCTGGGCCATCAAGCACCTCCTCCTCTACCACACCTCCCCTGCGTCGCTGCCGTTCCGGTCTCTTCTCCGGCACTCTCCGGCGACCTGCCTCTCCACCCTTCTCCGCGATCGGGCCGTGAAGATCACCAAGATCGATCGAGAAAACGGCGGCGTCGAGATCAACAACGTTTCAATCACCGACCCGGATCTGTTTCTCGGACCCCACCTCTCCGTTCACGGAGTCGCCGGATTCTTCTCGCCGGTGAAACTCCACGGGCCCGACCGGAGGGAAGAAATAATCGAATCTCCGTCCTGCGATTCCGACGACCCGGAGATCCAATGGCCAAGAATCGTCCAGTCGCTGAGCTCGAATGGGTTCGTCTCTTTCGCGATCGGGCTCCACTCCGTTCTTGATTCCATCCCCATTAACATGAGCTCCGTCACCATCTTCGCCCCGCCGAGCTTCGGGTTCTTGGATTCCCCGTCGCCATTGTTGGATAGAGTGGTGAAGCTCCACTTACTGCCTCGGATCTACAGTTTTGAGGAACTGTCATCCCTGCCAAACGGATCTGTTCTTGAGACCCTGCTTCCAGGTGCAGAAATCAAGATCGGTGTTGATGATTCCACAAGAAGCTTGGCTGTCAATGGAGTTGAGATCACTGCTCCGGATGTTTTGAGATCCAGGAATTTCACGGTTCATGGGATTTCTAGAGCTCTGGGCGTGTTCAACCATGTTCTTGATCAGATTGCTTAGTTCTGGAGCTCTGTGATTTTTTTTACATGGTGAGAGAGGAAACCAAGTTTTGGAATTTTGGGTTTTTGTGTAGCTTTTTTTGGATGTTCAGATGATGTGAGAACTTGTTTTGGACTCCTCAATTTGTTGTACATAAAGAGTTTTCGTTTTCTTTTTGTAGCATAATAGAAGGAGCCTAACATTTTTAAGACATGATCTGAATAGAATAATTTTGATACTATTTGATTTGATCCCATCTGAATTTAGTTATTTTAAGATTATTTTTTATCTGAACTGAAATGATTCTAATAAGAAATGTCAATAAGAATTAGTTGAAGATCAAAACATAATCCAATTAGATCAAAACCAATTAAATAAGTACTCCGTAAAAGAGAACATGTTCTCAGCTTGGAGCTAGAGGTGAGCAAGTATCGTATCGGTACCGAAAATTCTCGAAAAACCTGAGAAAATCGAATAAAAAAGTACTGCTAAAATATCAAATCGTACCGAATCGAATAAATTCGATTCGGTATTTGGGAACGGTACGAAGTAACTTCCAATACCGAAAATCCTGAAGCGATTTTGACTTGGACTTCTCGAAATATCGGTTTGGAAACATTGCCATTAAATAACATTTTTAAAACATTAAACTTAAACGTTGAATCTCCTGTCATTTACGGTAAAATTTTTAATCTGTCACTCGTTTTGCCGATTTGTGAGATTTTCTAAACCACAAATGCTCCAACGAGTGTAGATCTCAAATGCCAACAACCTCGAAAACTATGAGCAGATACTTCTTGAGACTAATTGTTCCAGATTTTTGAAATGGAAGAATGTGATCTTCTATAGATTGTATGATAATCTGGCTATATATGTTGTTCGATTATCGAGAATTATCTAAGGTTCCATTACGTGAGTTTCAAAATGTATGATCTGAAATGAGTTTTGAAATACGAGAGAAACAATACTACTCCCTCCGTCCGGCAATGTTCTTCCCGTGTTGACTTGGCACGCTTATTAAGGAATAGTAAAAAAAATGCAAAATTTTCAAAAATGCACATACTATAAACTTTTAAATTTTCTTTTATTATTAAAAAAGTACTAAAAAAGTAAATTTGTGATAAAATAGAAGGGTATTATTGATATTTAGCCTTAAAAAGTATACTAAAAAAGGAAATGAGAAGAATATTTTCGGACGGACCAAAAAAGAAAATGGGAAGAATATTTCCAGACGAAGGGAGTATGTGTTACGAAATCTAAATTAATTTGTTTGAAAAGATTTGAAATCATGATTTGATTAGTGATATGTGTAAGTGGTCGTCAACATGGTGGTTGGCGATGATAGTAATAGGCGGGAGTGCACAGGGGTTGAGGAAGATATTAAACTTCTATATATTGATATCTTCGAAAGTAAGGATATACAGTATTAAAATTGTCAATTTGAAAGGTTTGTGATATCTAATAATCTCATGATATCAAATCTGTATTTCTTTTTATGGTTCACCAAATATCAAAAAAGATTTTGATAGAAAGAAAAATTCAAATCTCATGCGCTTATCAAATAGGTACTTTGATGAAAACATGCTTTACATACAGTAGAAAAATAAGTACAATCTTATTTTACATGTAATTTACTTTTATACCAAAAATACCTTCTCCCCTCTCCCTTTCCTTTCAAGTTCGATTTTTGTAGCTAATATTTTAGAATTTTGTGTCTAAATAACGCAAAAACAATATTAAATTGTAATATAAAATTAATATCAATAAATTCATTTGGAAATCTATTTTTGAATTATCATAGTATTCCCACTAAAAACAATGTGCAAAAGAGCATAATCAATTGAAAATGGCCGCCAAAGGCAGTGAAGGGAGCAAAGAGCGGTGATGGAGAACGGAATGATATCAGTCGACCGGTGGGCGATCGGAAGTCAGGCCTACTTCCTCACCCACCTCCACGCCGACCATACTCAGGGCCTCTCTCCGTCGTGGCGTCGTGGCCCACTCTTCTGCTCCCGCGTCTCCGCCAAGCTCTTCCCTTCCAAGTTCCCCGGCTTCGACCTCTCCCTCCTCCGCGTCGTCGACATCGGACGGTGGCACTCTCTCTCAATTGCCTCCCCGTCCTCCGGCTCCGCCTCCACGGTTCACTTCTTGGCCGTCGACGCTTATCACTGCCCGGGTATGCAGCCTATCACTGTAATTGCCCTATAATTGCCTAACCGCTTTATTGCCCACAAAGTGTTCGACGTTTTGGCTCAGTCAAGAACCGTGAAATATCGGCAGTTAAGTCTGGGATTTGGTTGAAAAAAGCCAAAAAGGTGCTGTTAATTAGATTTTCTTTCTAGAGTTGTTGGATTTCTTCCAGTTTTGTTATTTGCATGATATAAATGCCATAATTCCATTGAAATCGATCATGGCTGAATAAGAAGACTTGGAAATCATGTTTGCAGCATTTTAATGTTTGTAATTAGTGGAGGAGAGATCATTATTCGTACTCCCGAGTATGTAGTTACAGTTACAAACTTGAAGTTGGATGCAATAACTGTACTAATCATTGAATTATACTTGTATATTGTGGTAAATAGAATTTATCCACATGCTTGACATACAACAGTTTAGTGACCTTCTCCCTCTGCCCGGGTTTTAGTTGTCATTTTTCTTGTTTTCGTTTATACGAAATTATGTCCACTTTCTAAAATATGCTAGATGTAATGTGTTAGAATTGCTCACATGAATGACTGACAAATTCACTTAAAAGACTTATAGACTCTTTGAACACATTTGTTAAAAATGAGATTTTTTAGAAAGTGGACAACTAAATCCATACAGAGAGGCTATTTTTTGCTTTCTCAGCAGAAGTTCTGCTCTTTTTCCTAGGATTATAAGGTATTTACTAGCCTAGACTCCTAATTCTTGCAACCCTTTTGTCTTGGTCAGGAGCAGTCATGTATCTGTTTCGTGGTGAGTTTGGATACATGCTTTACACGGGTGATTTTCGTTGGGAAGCAAAGAGCGATAGAGCACTTATAGGAAGGGCAATGTTACTTAATGCTCTGAAGGATGTAAACCTTGATTACCTGTACTTAGATAATACCTATTGTAATCCAGCATATGCCTTTCCTTCCCGTGAGGTGGCTGCTAAGCAGGTGCATTCTCTTTTCTCATCTACGCCGTGTTACCTTTGTAAAAGTAGAGAGACAGTTTTCGTTAAACCCTAGATGCATTGCTGCATTTATACCCAAACCTTCATAGAAACTTTTACCGCGAATTAGATAAATGCTTGAATTGGGTGTCTATCCAAACAAGCCTCCTTGCATTCTCTACTGTTACTGGAATGTCATCATTTCACTCTGAGAATAGTTATATTTTGATTTTGTGTAAAATGCTTGCATGTTTTCTGTTTGGTTACAGATTGTGAATATCATTGAATCTCATCCAAAGCATGACATTGTCATTGCTATTGACTCTCTGGGGAAGGAAAACCTTTTGGCATACATATCCCGCGTACTCAATGTAAAGGTAAGCACTGACTTACACTTATTTTACAAGAGGGCTGGTGTCATATTATGACACCAGTTCATTTGAGGACCCTATGGTACTCCCTGTTTCATTCATACTCCCTTTGTCCCAATGCCCGTCTATTAGTCTATTCACCTTCATTTGTTTCGTTCCAAATTTGTTACAGATATGGGTGTGGCCGGAGCGCCTGCAGACCATGCACCTGCTCGGTTTCCATGACATCTTCACAACAAAAACTTCTCTCACCAGAGTCCGTGCGATTCCTCGTTACAGTTTTAGCATCGAGACTCTAGAAGGTCTGAATAGAATGCGTCCAACAATCGGAATCATGCCATCTGGACTTCCATGGGTAGCGAAAAACGACAAGGGAAAGAACCATCCTTTGGGTC